ATATAGACAGATAATGAAGAATTGGATAAATATGGCAACAAAGATGAGGACAATAGTCTGAATAATGTAAATAATGTACATAATACCTCATCTCAGAAATATAGACAGAAACTGTACATTCTGTCTTATCACTGGTGATAGTTTGTCCTTTCTTTTCACTTTCCTTTTTTTTAAGTCTCCTGTTCATCTGTGATGGAATTGTCCAGCACTTTCTACCAAAACAGTTAAACACTCTTTACTTTGTTTCTTACAAAATCCTCCAGTTTCTCAATACTTTGCTTTGCCTTGATTCAGTATCACTTCTTTTTTTTAAGTGTCAAAAGATTTCTCAGATAATTAAACTGTACTTGTTTGATTTTGCCATTTCCAGTTCATACCTGACATCTTGGACTTCACTTCTTGCCAACAACCTTACATTGTCTTGTTAAAATTGATGGTTACTCCTTACTTGTTGCTTTTCTTTACTATCTTGTCTTGGAGTTCCTGAAGTTTTCTTCCTGTGTCTTCTATCAACACAGTGTTGTCTGTGTATCTGATGATGTTAAAAGTGTCTCTACCCATTTTAGTTGTGCCCTTCCAATTCTAATTACAAGAATTCTTTTTGCTCCCATTTTCTTAAAACTGCACATTATTCATATGATCAGTCAATGTTATTCTCAAAAGTCTTCTGTAGGATAATATCTCTCTTGCTCTAACTCCCCTCTTATTTGCACCACTGATTCACAGGGATTAGAATTATGTTTGGATAATGCTGTCATTAAAATAGGCCTAATAATCATCTTTTCAAATCAATGTGTTATAGCAGTATTAGTATTTCGTATAATCACTATTAATGTATTAAATAAACTGCCAATAATTATCATACAACAGTGTATTTGCTTTTGTTTTGACAAAAAAAATAAGCACTTAACTATAAAGAATTATCATACAACAGCATCATATTTTGTTTTTTGTCAATAAAACCACCACCTGCCTTCATTGTTGCTTTACAAATTCTTTCCAACAGCTTTTGAAAAATGTAGATAGCAGATCTTCCCAAGCATTCTGCAAGCACTGAAAAAGCTCACTCTCACTTTTTGGGTATTCTCTTCAAATGCTCCTATCCAATTCATACTAATTCAATGGGAGAGAGGTCACGAGATTGAGATAGTAGAGCATAATTTCCAAAATTTTGTTTATTTTCTTACTTGAGGTAATTTTCACATAATCCAAAAGAGTGTTCGCTATTGTTATCTTGTTGAAAGGTGAATTTTTTCTAGTTATGCATAAACCAGATGGTATAGCAAATATTTTTAAAATTAAATGAAATTGTTCTCTTTTCATGATTCCTTTGATCTGAATCAAATTTCCAGCCCTTTTAGTAATCTCAAAAAATCTACTACGGTGTTAATAATGAAAACAAAATATAATGATTCTCATACCAAATATTCATAATCCAGCAAAATGTATTGTGAACAGATGAATCGAAATTTGAACATTTTGGTGGCAAGATGAGCCTGGAGACAGACTGGAAAATAAAAGCAGATAACACTGCAGTTACTAAAATGTTATCTTTTACTTTAATACAAAAATATCTCATTTTAAGGTGTTTTTTTAAAGAAATGCCTTGGGGATACCCAAACTTTTGCCTGTAGTGTATGTGAATGCATGAATAGATTTTTTGGGATATATTTATTTATTACAGTAAACGGTATTATTTAAAATGGATATGTATTTACTATTAATGAAGTCCACCCCCAAAATTGGAAACTGATTTCAAAAATGACTTTCCATCTGTTATTAACTGGGAAAGAAATAGCTTATTAATTGAAACACCTCCAAACCGAAACTGCTCTCTCTTAATCATGTTATGAAACCTTTTTTGCCTTCCATAAGCTGGGCTGATGCTAACCTCCTTATTTTGTCTTCTCAGTCTGATGTTTTCCAATGGTATAAAGTGGAATGATTATATAGAAGCTAGGTCTGCTACTAGGAAAGTTGGTTCACTTTTTTTTTGCCGGTATCTCTCATGCATGTTCATAAGTCTACCATTTACCTGAGCATTGAATATGTTACATCTAGTCTGGTGCTTCTGCCGTATATTTAAAGAGTCTTGATAAAAGACAAAGAAGAATCTGCAATGTTATCGTCCCTGACCTTGCATCTCAGCTTTGATCACTTCCCTGTGCCTTTTCTATAAATATTTTCTTGGCAATTGTTCTGATGTGCTTTCCTCTTTGGTATCTTGATATCATGAATTGAAGTACAGTACAAGATTGACAGTTAGGTCTCATAATTTTACAGTTGAAATTGCTATCCCTTTAAATATCAAATTCTTCAGTTCCTCTTTCCTCATTATGCAACCCAAAAATTTTAACTGTCCCTTTCTGATTCTCAGTATAAGAGACTTTTTTGTTCTTTTTATCTTCAAACTTCCTCATTGTTCACATACTCTACCCATGGTATTCTCAGCATATATAGAGCCACATCCTAGCTTAATTCTCCTCTTCATCTTTGAGGAAATTGTCCGACATTCACTTTCGCAGAGGAGGGTAGATATTATGCAGACATTCCTTACCTATATTTATCTTTAATTCCGTACATTTATTTACCCATTTCATAAATCCTCCAGCTTGCAGCATTTAATCTTGGCATCATTATCCATTATTACTTGCCATAAGTATCGTTCTCCAAATGAGTTGCCATTTTTTCCTTCTAAACCACTATCCGTAACTCTTGATTTTCTCATTATGCACTTTTACGTCTTTACAATCTGAAATCTTCCTGTCATTTGTTTTCTATTTCTCACTCTGCCAATTATCTTTCATTCAACACCTACCCACAGACTCCTCTGTAATATCAATACAATCAATACATTCAGCATATGTGCACACAAACTTAAAATAATTTTACATCGCATGCTAAAATCTCAGTGGGTCATACAAACTTTTGTTTGCTATATCTGTCAAAGCAATACAACTTGGTGCAATAAGCACTTTTAACAAGTACACCTTATAAGCACATTTATATCTGTATGGGTCATAATAAAATTTTAATATTCAGTTATTGATTTTGCTGTTCTAGCTGTGGTTGAAAGGATTAGCATCATTTAATAACTATCAATAGATTATCCAAAATCTCTTAAACCTGCAAATCCCATAGAACATTGGGCCACTACATCCCCCAAGATGATATGTTCTATAGAGTGTACTTTGTGACTCTACACCCAACCAGACTGAATTCAGTATTTTCCATCTCTAAGACTGGTTAACAAACAAGGCTAGAGGACCCATCCTGCCCTGCCATTTTGGAGAAAAAATTGATTCATGACATTCCTAAGCTGTGTTCAAATTTCTCCTTTAATAATTCTTTGCTTTCTATATGTGTACAGAGGGGATAGCCATTTTGATAGTGGGTTATGGGTAGGTAAAGAAGAGACTACACAGATTTTTTTTCCGGGGCTTCTCCAGTTTTATGGTTTATTGCTAAAATAAGAAAAAAAAAAAAAGAAAACATGGAATGTAGATGAACATTTTTAAAATTAAAATAGAACAGATATTGAATTTTTCATATCATTCATACTTTTACCAGATTGTGTTTAAAATATTTTCTCTGACAGTTCTTTGATTTCTATGTGATCAGAAGGATGGCCATTTTGAAAGAGGATTATGGGTAAGCAAATAGAATGTAACTTCACAGATTTTCCCCTGGGGTTCTAGAAGAAAATAAAAACAGAATATGGATTAATACTTTTGAAATTAAAATAGAGCATGTATTAATTTTTCAAATTTTTTAGACCTTTTCCAAATTGTGTTTAAATCCTTTTGTATGACAGTTCCTTGTTTTCTGTCTCCAGCAGGCTGTTCATTTTGAAAGTGGATTGTGGGTAAGAAAAGAGATTCTTTTTTAAACTTCAAAAACTTTATGATGTATTACTAAAAAAACAAACAAAAACAAAACAGAAAAAAAACCATTAAAATTTTTCTTCAGGTGTTAGTCCTTAGGATATTTACTCACAGTGGATTAACACTTTGAGCCATGCATTCCTAAACAATTTTAACCCTTTTACTTGAGCTCCTGAGTCAAAATTCACAAATAATTGGTATATAATGTTTCACGGTAGATATAAAAATAGTTACAAGTGTTTACCCACCGTTCAACTGGTAGCTAGGCATTAAGTCATTTTTCTCTACCACTATTCAACCATTAGCTAGGTTTTATGTCTTTTTTCTCGACTACCAGTAAAGCGGTGCCAGGGATCAAAGTGTTAGAACATTGGTTTGACATTTTAGTGACATAATGATTGTGAGTTCAATCCCTGGGCTGGGTAGTGCGGACTTATTTTCAGTGAAAACAGGTTGAAAATTAATTGAAAAGTTCTAAATATGTTGCTTGGTTGATTTTGTTTAGCAGCATATAAACACCTCTGTGGTTTATTTAAGGCCAAAATATGAATATTTTTGTGGTTTCAACTAAACATATTTTGAACACAATTGTATGCCTTTCAATTGCAGATAAAATGTATTGTTTGTTATTTTGTTATTAAATGTAATTTTATACTTTCATAGTGTTTTGTTTTTGTTTAAGGGTTTACTATTTGCCCATAGCTGTGACCCTAACAGCTGCTACCACCCCGGGACAGGGTGTTTCTGGGCACAACAGCAATTAAGAGGTGGTTTCATGCTCCTTAACCCCTTCAATCTTCTGATCAGAGGCCTTGCTGCCAGATCTAATTTAGCATCATAGCCAGATCTAAGCACTAAATAAGATTGATTGATTTGATTTTTATGGCTTATCAACCCTTTAAAGGTTATTTAAAGCCATAAAATATCTTTATATTGTAAGAATTATTTTTAAGATGATAATTGTTTACTGATACAATTCTTAATAATTAACCTGTAGATGGGGGAAGACGAGATGGATTATGTAAGTGAATATAACAAACACAACGGGAATTGGAACTCGGCTCTCCAATTAACAATTCTGAGCCATTATACATTACACCACCTGCACATCCAAGTTTACAACACTTGGTATTCCCAAGCGATCACCCATCAAGATACTGACCAGACTTGATGTTGCTTAACTTTGATGAACTTATGGGAACTAGTGTTTCAACATGCTGTTTGCTGTAAGCCTACTAATTAAGATATCCCTAGACACGGACAGCAGAATGAAAACTGTCTACTTTCATAGATTAAATAAAGGATTTTGTTTGAAATTTCCTGAAAGTTACCCGGATCCAAGAAGCTCAGATGTAAATAATGACAATCCCTTATCCCAGAAATTATCAAATCACTATGGATCTGGTGTGATATACCAATGTTGGTTATTGGAAAAGCCACAAAAAAATAACCACTTGACATTTAGATGGAAGAAGCCTGGATCAACAGACACTGGTAGAAGGCTGGAGAGCACAAGAACTATAATCGCATCATAATGAAGATGGGAACATTAGTCTGAATGTAAATATAAATATTGATTGTAAAAATGTCATTTTTTCCTTGTGTTTTTTTTTACTCTTTTTGTTTCCATTTTTTTTAACTTTCAGTCAAAAACATAACCCCATAACCAAGGTTATTTGCAAACATTGTATCTTTTCAATTGCTGTATAGTGTGCACCTCAAAAGGGTTATATAGTTTTGAATTCTGAGTTGTTGTTCTAGACTGGTTGCCAACCAAGGCTAAAGTTCCCAGTTTGCCCTGGTATTTTAACCATTGTTTGCTGGAAAATGAACTTTTTCATACCTTTTCCTTTAGGGTACTTGTGAGAAAATGAATGCAAGACTCATCCGGAATTTGAACACAGCTAAGCGATTACTCTTTCCATGCTGTTAGCCATTATCCTACCTGTAAAACTGCACATTTTTCATGTTAAATCCTCGAATTTTCTCAGCAGCAACTTAATCCAAGAGAAGGCAAAACAGTCCAAAGTCAACAAAAAAAAATATCCAATATTACAAATAACGCTGTCTGTTTTATGTCCAACTTTTACTTCTTAAGACGTTTTTTTTAATTCTTTTCTAATTTTTCTCTTTATTTCTTTTGTTTGCTTTTTTAGATATTCATTATCAGTTTGTTTTGTTTTCTCACTAATGCCACACAATATGAACCTTTCTTGAAATCCTCTTTAAATTTTGATTTTTTTTGAGCCAACTCAGCTTTCATCCTGCAGCAATGCAGTCAAGCTTCTAGAATTTTCTATCGTTTTTGGCTATTTCCACTTCCTGCCAATTCCATCTGATCGCCGGCTCCACTTTCTTCAATCTCTAACTGCCGACAATTTCTTCATTTCTGGTCTTTTGTATGTTCTTCAATTCTTCTTTTAATTTACCAATTTCTTTTGCTTTACAGCCATTCTTCCATTATTTTTCATTATTTTTATCTTCTCTATTTGCTTTCTAAGCAAAAATCACTCCTGAAAATGGCATCTCTCTTCAAGTTTTCGTTGTGGTACATTCTTTTCTGACAATATAAAACTGTTGTGCTTGTATTTCTCTCTCTCTCTCTCACACACACACATAAATATATATATACATGTTTATATGAATATATATATATATATGCACACACATACACACACAAGTCTTAGGCAAAAATTAAAGCCTATTATTCTTTAATCACAGTAGATTTATTTGTAGAAACACCAAAAGCATGACACAATGGATACAAATGTTTTGGGGATTCTGATATAGTCTCCTTTAAAAAAGCAATGTTTTTTCTTTTATAGTTAAAACAATTTTAATAGTAGATGAACAGAAAGCATAATGAAATAAATACAAAAGTCCCAGCTTTCTGAATTTAATCATCAACATAGTCTCCTTACTTCTCAAATGTCATACACAAGTTGATCAAAAGGTAAAGCCTCTTGCAGTCGATTTCATTGTAGAAGCAGATAAAAGTAGACCCTCTTATTTTATTAAGGACATTGGCAATCATGGCTCTTGCCACAATGTCCTGTTCTTTGTAGCTCTTAATGAAGTTTGCCTTTTTGCTATCTCTCCTCATCCTTGTTGTGTCAACCATTTACAAAAGCTGGTCAGGTAAGATATACGCTTTTTTCATCTATTCCTTTAGCCTTCAATATGTCCTGTGAGTGTCACATTTTCTAAGCCCACTTTCCACTTTATGTAGTTTAGACATTTTAACTGTCTCTTTCTGGTACACGAAAATTAGTGACCAAAGCTACATTAACATTTGTCAGTGGCGTGTGAAAGAAAATTCAGAGAATCAAGCCACTCTTCAAAAGCATCCTTCTCACTTATGTTAATATTAAAATATAAAAAAGTAGGAAAACTTGGGCCTTTATGCCCACAAAAAAATGGAATGTCAAAAGGACAATTTTTTTTTCCTTGACACAACTATTATTTTAACTACCTTCACTCCTCAGAAATATTTATTGTTTTCAAAAGCAATGATTAGAATTCTAATAAAACCTAAACATATGAAAATGAATTTATACATTTTCTTTATTTTTGAGAATTGACAACAAAAATAATAAACACTATTTATTTATTATACTGTTTATTGGCATGGTTGGCAAAACATCAGCTAATTGCTATTTTATTCAAACTTTATAAAATGGTAAATAATAAGAATTTCCTTATAGTTGGTTCACATATTTTAATAATTTAGTAAACGTTTATTATTAGGTTGTCCCAAAAGTTCGTAAACACTTGTGAAAAATTGAATTTTTATGCAACACAATCCAGCACAATCGAGACAAGCGATGGTTTCAGAAAGGGCAAGAGACACTGTCAGTTCCAAAACAATATCGATTCGGCAAGAAAGCCATGTTGTGCGTTTGGTGGAATTTTGAAGGAATCATGCATTTTGAGTTGGTTCCGAATGGTCATGTCATCAGTGCCGAACTTTACTGTCAGCAACTGGAGTGGGTCTACGAAAAATTGAAGCAAAAGTACCCGGCTCTGATCAATCGAAAGCGCACTTTGATGCAGCAGGACAATGCCAAGCCACACACCGCCAGGAAGACCAAAGACAAGTTTGAAGAGCTGGACGGCGTTGAGGTTCTGCCACATCCAGCCTACAGTCCTGACTGTGCTCCATCAGATTACGGCCTTTTCCCTTCAATGCAACACTTTCTGAAGGGCCGCCAATTCGACTTGTTTGATGAAGTCGAGGAAGCATGTCAATAATTCTTTGATTTGAAGCCGGCTGAATGGTACTTTCACCAGATCCGAAAGCTTGCAGATCAATGGCAAAAAATCTTGGAAAATGATGGTCTTTATTTTGAGGAATAATTTTTGATGTTTTTGTTATTACTTGGCGAGTAAAATTTCAGTTTTTTGCAAGTGTTTACGAACTTTTGGGACAACCTAATAATTTAGGAATAAAAAGTTTTCATGTTTATTTCTTTATGAATTGGTAAATGATAAATATTGCATTGTACTAGTTTTAATTGTATTAGTTGTTAGTATGTTACAAATATAAAATTGTTCTTGTAAGTAAACAATCTAATAGTGTTTAATATTTTTTGTTGAAAAATTCTCAAGAATAAAAAATGTATAAATTCACATACATGATATATTTAGGTTTTATTACAATTCTAAACATTGTTTTTAAAAACAATAAACATTGTCGAGAAGTGAAGGTAGTTAAAATGATAGTGGTGTCAAGGTAAAAAACCATCCTTTTGATACACTGTTTTTTGTAGGCATGAATATTAAAGATTGCTGAAATTTCAGATTCAAAGAGAAACACTGACTGAACCTGTTCATCTGAAGAATATTTAATTCCAGGTGTGGTGTCATGGATAAGGACTCAAAGAAACAAATTCAAATTCTGTTGGGGTTCACTTACGTGCAAATACTCTTGGGAAAAGTAAGAATCCATCTCTTCTCCTCCAGCTATGGGTTGAATAGCAGGACAGACTGGGTCCTATAAGCTTGGTTGGCAACCAGGCTACAACAGAAGTAAACTACTGAAAGAAAATCTTCTGTTTAGTCAGTCATGAATCAAGTGACATGTTCGCCCAAGCATGTATTACATACAGGGCTTAACTGACTGATTGAATATTGATGGAAAGTCCCTGTCAGATCAATAAGTTAAGGTAGTTAAAATAATACCAGTACCAATGGGAAAACTGTCCTTTTAACACTCTTATTGTGGGGACGATGGTCCAAATTTACCAATACATACGATTTAATTTTCATTTTCATGTGCATCATTATTCAGACCTTCACCTTAGTTTTTATAATGGAATTTACTATAGGAATGCATTGAAAATCATTTAGAAAGGGATTGTCAATGTTCATGAATTAATGTAAGATTTAGCAACTGCAGATGGCTATTATATATATCATATAAATATATTTTTATAATTTTTCTATAGGAATGTATTGAAAATCAGAATTTTGATTGATTATGTATTTTGAAATAATAATGATCTACTGATACCAATTATACTAATTAAACTATAGCTGAGGGGCAAGAAGTTGAATTCCCACATTTTCCAAGGGTATTTGTGCTTAAGTGAATATAACGAACCCAACTTGAATAGAAACTCGACTCTCTGATTTCCAATTCTGAGCCATTCACCATTACACCACCTGCGCATCAAAGCTTGCAGAACCTGGTATTCTCATACAGTCATCCATCTAGATACTTGCTTTGACATTAGTGATCATATCAGAACTGGTGCAAAAATCAGGGAGAAATGGATTATCAAATGTCATGAATTAATGCAAGTGTTACTGACAAAATAGAGTTATTATATATATATATATATATATATATATATGCAGAGTGCAATAGATGAAGCTTTGTTGAAATTATGCATAAATGAAAATAACACTGACACCTCATTTTAACATATATTTACCAAAATTATACAAAAATATCTGGACAATCTCATTGTTTAAGTTGGCAAATGCTGCCATGATCTTTGCCTTCCATTCATCTTTGGTTTTACAAGGAGTTTTGTTGGTCTCTCACTCAACTACACCCCACACATAATAATCTGGGGGTTGCAGTCTGGGGAGTTAGATGGCCAGATGTGATGGGTGATGTAGTTGCAGAAATTGTCTGACAGCCATGATTGTGATCTCCTGTTTGTGTGGCATTTTGCAGAGTCCTGTTGCCAGACATAGGATCTTCTTG